AGCAGGCGCGGCGCGAGGGCTGGGAGGAAGTTCGCGTTCGCCAGCGCGTGGTCCTCCGCAGTCGGCGGCTGGAGCCAGCTCCCCGCCCCCTTCCCGCTGGCCGAGCGTAGCTGCGCTACCCATTCTGGTGGCAAGGCGCCCAGGGGCCGCTGCCGGCGCGCGTGCTGCTCCGGCGCCGCGAGGGCGCGCTGTGCTTTCGCCTGGGGCTCCGCGGCGGCGCGCAGCCAGGTCGCGCCGCGCAGCTGGAGAGCGCGGCCCGCCCTCTCGGCCGCACCCCGCGCCGTCGGGCAGGCGAGCTGGAAATCCTCGAGGCTGGAAAGTCCGAGCTCACTGCAGACGCCCGCCAGGCGCGCCTGCCAAGCCCCCGCGTAAGCGGGCAGGCGGCGGTGCGCGAGGCCCTGCAGCCCGAGCCCGCCGCCAGTGCTGGGCAGGAGGGCCAGGTCGCGCGCGTCGTCTGGCAGAGTCTGTTGCCCTGTGGGCGGCCGCAGGATCTCGCGCGCGTGGCCGAGAACCGCTGCGTCGTGCGCCTGGCGCCGCGCCTCGTCCAGCAGGTGCGCTCGCGCGCGGTGCAAGGCCGCGCCGTTGGCGAGGGTGCGGGGCGGGGCGAACTCGCCCTCGGCGCGCAGCCCGCGCCGTCGGAGCCGGCGGAGGGCCGCGAGGTAGGCGTCGAGGTGGTCTCGGGCCGCCCGCGGGGCGGCCGTCGGCGAGAAGCTTGCCCTCGCGGGGTCGGCGCCCGGGTCTGCCCCCGCCGCGTTGTGCGCGTGGGGCAGCGTGCTTCCCGCGTGCGCGAAGTCGGGCACTTCTGCCGGCGCCAGCGGCCCTCGGGGATGCAAAGCTCGAGGGTTCCAGACCTTGGTCTTCCGCGCGCTCGCGTGGAGGCGGCGCGCCGCCAGGGGCGCTGGCGCCGCGAGGAGCGCGGCGGCCAGTGCGCGCGGGCTGCCCGCGACGCACGCGTCGTCGAGGTAGGCCACCGCCCTTGCGTCGGGGTCCTGGCGGCGCGCCGCCGCCTCCAGGCCCTCGTGGAGAGTCGCCGCCGCAAGCGAGAAGAACGCCGGGGAGAGGGGTCAAACCTGGCCCACCCCGCGCTGCGCCCTGACCGGCGCCGCCCTGGCCCCGGGAGGGCAGGCCCCGTGCGTAGTGGCCCCGCCGTGCCGCGTCTGCGCCAGCCGCGAGAGCTTCGGCAGGCGGCCAGCGACCTCCCGCAGCAGGGTGTGCCGGCAGAGCTCGCTGAACGCGTTAGCCACGTCCAAGCAGCGCGACGCCGGGATCCTGCTCCAGCGCGGATTCAGCAGCGGCAGCAGCCGCATGGCCTGCTCCAGCACCCGGCCCTCCAGGATGAGGACGAGCACCTGCGCGAGTGCCTGCTTCCCTTCGCTGTGCCCGCGCAGAGCAGCCCAGTGCTCGAAGCGTGCGCCCGAAAGGCCTGGGCCCGAGTGGCGCGGGCACTTCCCGAGGCTGCCCGCTGCCTCTTCGGCCGCGTCGGCCTCCCAAGGCTCGGCGGGCCGCGCTGCGGGCGGCGGCGGCGGGCGGTCGGCGGGCGCCGCCGGCGGGAAGGGGGCGGCCAGGTCTCGAGCCACCCAGGGCCCTTGCGCCAGCTTGCTGGGCCCCGCGGCCGCCGTGGCAGCGCGGCCGACCTCTCCGAGCATGATGGGCTCATGCACCCGCCGGGCCAATTTCCCCGGGTGTCCGCTGGCCCGCGCGGTCCTCGGCCGGTTCCCCGGGTCGCGCTGTCGCGACCCGCGGCGCCGCCCGATCGCCGGCCCAGGCCTGGCGGAGGCGGCGCGGCAGCACCTCGGGCCGAGAGCTGCTCGTCGCTGTCGCTGGTGGGGGGCGCCGCGAAGAGCAGCCGCGGGAGCAGGAGCAGCCGGGCCCGCGCCGCCTCGCTCGTGGGCTTCGCCGCGACTGCGCGCAGTGCCGCGGCGAGCGCGTCCGCGACCGCTGCGGCGAAGGCCGGGGGCGTCGCTGTCCACGTGGGCACCGGCTCCCGCAGGGCGCCGTGCAAGTCGAAGCCCGCCCGCCACTCCAGCCCAGGGAGCTCGCCCGCCTCTGCCGCTAGCACGTACCGCGGCTGGAGGTCGTTGGACGGCGCGTCGTCCGCCTCTGGCTGGGCAGCCCCTGGCGCCAGCGTCGTGCAGGCGAATATCTCCGCGCGGCCCTTTTCGGGTAGGGCCGCCGAGCCCTCCGCGGACCCGTGTGGCACGCCGCCGGCGATGCATGCCAGGTGGCGGAAATGCCTGTCAGGATTCGCCCTGCTCGCCAGGCGGGCCGCCCCCGGCGCGAAGCCTTCGCAGCACGCGCGCCACGTGCTTCCGGGGGCCTGTCGGCTGGCCACCCAAGTGCGCACTCTTGGAGGGCGCTGGGTAGCGGCGGCAGTCGGTGCAGCGGAAGCGGCGCCTGCGGCGCTCTCCAGGGCAGCAGTCGGCGCGGGGTGCGCCGCCATGGGTGGCTGCTCCGGAAGGCGCGGCATGCCGCTCCGTCCGCGTCCTCGTCGTCCCTTACCGCCATCCCGACGTCGACATCGACCTCCATGGCACGGGAGTTGGAGAAAGAAGGCGGGGGAGTGGGGAAGTGGAAGGGCGGGTGAAGAGGGAGGCAGCCGGGCAACGGCTGCTCGCGATTTGAGCCTCCTCTTCTTCCTTTTCCGTCTCCTCCTCCTCCTTCCTCCGTCCTCCTCCTCTCCTCCTCTCCCCTCCTCCTCGGTCGTCTCTCCTCCTCCTCCCCCCTCCTACTCCTCTCCCCTATCTCCCTCTCCGTCCTCCTCCTCGTCTCCTCCTCGTCTCCTCCTCTTCCTCCTCTCTCCTCCTCCCCTCCTCCTCCTCCTCCTTCTCCCCCTCGAGGACACAAAATAAACCCGCGAGACTCCCCTCTCCTCCTCCCTCCCTCCTCCTCTCCCCTCTCCTCCTCCATCCTCCTGTCCTCCCTCCCCTCCTCCACCTTCCTCCTCCTCCTTCCTCCTCCTCCTCCCCTCCTCATCTCCTCCCCCCTCTCTTTCGTGCGCAAGCTTGGAGGCGACTTCCTCCTCCTCCTCGCTCCTCGTTCTCCTGCTCCTCCTCTCTCCTCCTCCTTTTCCTTCTCCTCCCCTCTCCTCTCCTCCTTTTCCTCCTCTCCTTTTCTCTCCTCCTCCTTCGCCTCCTCTCCCTCCATGCTGCTGCTGCTGCTGCTGCAAGTGTCAGAGTCGTTCCGTGCGATGCCGCTTTGCTCCTCCTCCTCCTCCCTTTTCTTTGGCTTCTCTCCTCCTCCTCCTCCTCCTCGCTCGCTCGCTCGCTCCCTCCTCCTCCTCCTCCTCCTCTTCCCCCTCCCCCTCCTCCTCCCCCTCCTCCCGTCATCCCGAGGCAGGCACACGCTTTCGAATCATCGAATCAAGCGAACGATCAAACAAGTGACCGACATCATAACGATCGAACATGGGGACGACCCCACTCGAACCTGGCCGACCCCTGAACGAGAGCCCAGCGAACGAACATAGGGAGGCTGGCATGAAGATAGCGGGTCCTGAAGGAAACGGGTCCTGGAACACTGGGCCTTCCCCCATGACCAGCTCTTCGTCCAGAGCCGTTTCTGACCGCCCCAGGGCCCGTGGAAGGTCCCGGAAGGCCAACAGCTGTCAGAAACACGTCCATACCTAGGACCTGGGACAGCAGAGCACTCTGAAAGAACATGAGACTCTCCGCAGGCCAAACCGAAGAACACTCGAGGGCCCCCCCCCAGGACCCAGAATGCACAAGAACATCCAACAAGCACGAAAAACATTAGGGAGGGCACACTCCCTGAAGCGACCTCGATCTCATACCCCGGTCCGACCGCACCAGGGCCCGCTTCCCCCATGACCCGTCCCCTTCGCTGCGGGGAGCCCCCCCCCCTCGAACCCAGCAGCCCCTCCGCAGGCCGGCAGGCTGCTGCTGCTGCCGCTGCTGCTACAGGTATCAGAGTCGCTCCGTGCGACGCCTCCTGGCTCCTCCTCCTCCCCCCTGCTCCTCCCTCCTCCTATTCCTCCTCCTCCTCCTCCTTCTCCTCCTCCCCTCTCCCCCCCCCTCCTCCCCCCTCCTCCCTCCACCTCCTCCTCCGCCTCCTCCCTGGCCGACGCAGGCCATCGAATCCAGCGAGTGATCACAAAACTGAGCGCGAGAAGAGCGAACAAACAATGAGGGGGAGAATCCCCTTGAGCAGGGACCGACCGTCCCGGCAATCCTATAGGCCTACCACGACATGTTCTTAGAACACAAAAAAGTTCCAACAACATAAACAATACTCTTAGGAAATAAGCCCGATGTGTGCAAACAGAACAATCCCATCCAACGATGTTCTAAGAACATGTCGTGCAGACCCCAAACAAGTTCTGAACATTCTCTGGTGGGCTTATAGGCGAGCCTGGACGTTTCGCCACTGCTTGACCCACGCTGGCAGACCCCGTGGGAGCAGGAGGAGGAGGAGGAGGAGGAGGAGGAGGAGGAGGAGGAGGAGGAGGAGGAGGAGGAGGAGGAGCGAGGAGCAAGGTTTGCGGATGAGGAGGAGGAGCGAGGGGGAGAGGATGAGGAGGAGGAGGAGAAAGGAGAAGGAGAAGGAGGAGGAGAAGGAGGAGAGGAGGAGAAGGAGGAGGAGGAGGAGGAGGAGGAGAAGAAGGAGCAGGAGAAGAGGGAGGAGGAGGAGGAGGAGGAGGAGGGAGGAGGAGGAGGAGGAGGAGGAGGAGGAGGAGGAGGGAGGAGGAGGAGGAGGAGGAGGAGGAGGAGGAGGAGGAGGAGGAGGAGGAGGAGGAGGAGGAGGAGGAGGAGGAGGAGGAGGAGGAGGAGGAGGAGGAGTGAGAAGCGAGGAGCGAGGAGCGAGGGGGAAGGAGGAGGAGGAGGAGGAGCGAGGAGCGAGGAGGAGGAGGAGGACGAGGAGGAGGAGGAGGGGAGGAGGAGGAGGAGGAGGAGGAGGAGGAAGAGGAGGAGGAGGAGCGAGGAGCGAGGAGCGAGGAGGAGGAGGAGGAGGAAGACGGGCGAGGAGGAGACCCCCCGCCCGTCCGCGATGCACTGCGCCACAGGCCGGTCCTTCAGGCCTGGGCGGAGCGCCACGCCGAAGTCCTCGGGCCGCGGGCGACCGCGGCGGGGATCTCTCGCCCCAGGGGGGTTTGCGGGCATGGGGGGTGCCTCGGCGGCGCGCCCAACAGGGTTAGGTCGGGCATGTCCTCCTACAGGCGGATTTTGGAAGAGAAATGAAAACAGCCAAACCATACTCAAAAATAATTGGTCAGAAAAGAACAAGAAACATCGTCTCCACTGTTTGCTTCTGAATTCGAGCTCTGACGAGATAGATGCAGACAGGTCGAAGCATGAGGCAAGGGGTGATCATGCAACACGCGACGGTTTTTCGTTTACATCGCCGTGTTGTCTCAGAGCCCCTCCAGCAGGGGCGTGCATGCAACAGCAGGCAGACTTACTCGTTGAGGAGCTGCCAGACAAGTCACTGTGGGGAAGCGAGATCCTCATGTCCAGGCGCTGCAATTTTTTCACTCGCCAAGTTTCGGCCCCCGGGGCCCTGCAGATCTAGCGGGCTCGATGAGTGACACAGAAGGACGGGGTCTTGGGCTCTGGTCGTGATTTTTCGTGATTATTCCCTACCTAGGCTCTGCCTAGAAAGGTTCTTGCTCTCTTTGCTTAAAGGGCCGGGCAGTGCTAACCGCCCCGGGCGGTTCCCCCAGTCCCCGCCCCGCGGTTCCCCCAGTCCCCTGGGAGCTTTGGCCTTAGCTTTAGCTTTAGCTTAGCTTTATCTTTAGCTTTAGCTTAGCTTTAGCTTAGTGTTAGCTTAGCTTTAGCTTAGCTTTAGCTTAGCTTTAGCTTAGCTTTAGCTTAGCTTTAGTTTAGCGTTGGCTTAGCTTTAGCTTAGCTTCAGCTTAGCGTTAGCTTAGCGTTAGCTTAGCTTTAGCTTAGCTTCAGCTTAGCTTTAGCTTAGCTTTAGCTTAGCCTTAGCTTAGCCTTAGCTTAGCTTTAGCTTAGCTTTAGCTTAGCTTTAGCTTAGCTTTAGCTTAGCTTTAGCTTAGTGTTAGCTTAGCTTTAGCTTAGCTTTAGCTTAACTTCAGCTTATTGTTAGCTTAGTGATAGCTTAGTGTTAGCTTAGTGCTAGCTTAGCTTTAGCTTAGCTTTAGCTTAGCTTCAGCTTAGCTTTATCTTAGCTTTAGCTTAGCTTTAGCTTAGCTTTAGCTTAGCTTTAGCCTAGCTTTAGCCTAGCTTTAGCTCAGCTTTAGCTGAGCTTTAGCTTAGCTTCAGCTTTGCTTTAGCTTAGCTTTAGCTTAGCTTTAGCTTCGCCTTAGCTTAGCTTTAGCTTAGCGTTAGCTTAGCTTCAGGTTAGCTTTAGCTTAGCTTTAGCTTAGCTTTAGCTTAGCTTTAGCTTTAGCTTAGCTTTAGCTTTGCCTTAGCTTAGCTTTAGCTCAGCGTTAGCTTAGCTTCAGCTTAGCTTTAGCTTAGCTTTAGCTTAGCTTTAGCTTAGCTTCAGCTTAGCTTTAGCTTAGCTTTACTGTTACTACTAATGCTGCTTTCCTAGGGGCTCCAACTCCTAGGTAGGGTCGCACTGGGATAATGTTTTTCCCTACCTAGGCTCTGTCTCGAGGGTTCTTACTCTCTTAGCTTAAAGGGGCCGGGCAGTGCTAAGCGCCCCGGGCGGTTCCCCCAGTCCCCGCCCCGCGGTTCCCCCAGTCTCCTGGGAGCTTTAGCTTTAGCTTTAGCTTTAGCTTTAGTTTAGTGTAGCTTAGCTTTAGCTTAACTTTAGCTTAGCGTTAGCTTAGCTTTAGCTTAGCTTTAGCTTAGCTTTAGCTAGCTTTAGCTTAGCTTTAGTTTAGCGTTGGCTTAGCTTTAGCTTAGCTTCAGCTTAGCGTTAGCTTAGCGTTAGCTTAGCTTTAGCTTATCTTTAGCTTTAGCTTTAGCTTACCTTTAGCTTAGCTTTAGCTTAGCTGTAGCTCAGCTGCAGCTCAGCTTTACCTTAGCTTTAGCTTAGCTTTAGCTTAGCTTTCGCTTAGCTTTAGCTTAGCTTTAGCTTCGCTGCAGCTTAGCTGTAGCTTAGCTTTAGCTTAGCTTTACTGTTACTACTAATGCTGCTTTCCTAGGGGCTCCAACTCCTAGGTAGGGTCGCACTGGGATATTTTTTTCTCCTGCAACGCAAGATCTGACTGGTGAGAGGGAGCATGCCTTCGCAGAAGGCTGCGGGACTTCTCAGAAGCCGTCCGGCCTCGTGAGCAGCCGCCTGCGTCATCGGAGAAGGCTCAGCACACCCGTCAGAAGGTCGGAGGCCTTCCGAGCCTGATGAGGAGGCCAGCCCCTCTGCATTCCCAGGAGAAGAACAAAAACGCAATGAACATAAACTTTTGGCGCTCTGCGCGGATTTCCTGGATCTGCGCTGGGCCCCCCTCCCTGGAGCGCGCCAGGGGCGGCGCCGTCACGGGACCCCGCGCGAGTCCAAGAAATCCGCGCGGAGCGCCAAAAGTGTATGTTTATGGCATCTCTCTTCTTCGAATGCCCCCCCCCTGGGCTC